TTAGGTAGGAGTACAGCCTTGTTAAAGTATTAGAGAAATGGACATAGTTGGAGGTGGGGGGTCGGCATATTGGGATAGGAAACCACCATTTCTTGATGTCAGAGTGCCCAAGGCATTTGAAGGTTGTCCTCACTCCCCCGTTCTGCATACACTTAGTCATCAGAGAACAGAAACTATTGGTCTCTAACTGAAGTTGATATAGTAGAATACTATGGGATTTACTTTTTTAGATTTTTTTCATTGTTATTTTGAAATAATTTCAAACTTACAGAACAATTGGAAAAGAGTACAAAAATTCCAGTATACTCTTCACTCCTATTCCCTGAATGTTAACTTTTAACTGTCTGCTTTATCATTCCCTCTACGCGCACACACACACACACACACACACACACACACTTCTGAAATTTGAAGAGCCAGTTGCAGACATGACATACCTTTACCTCTTTTTTTAAGTTTGTTTATTTATTTTTAGAGAGACAGAGAGAGGGAGCACATGTAGGAGAGGCCGAGAGAGAAGGAGCGAGAGAGAGAGAAAATCCCAAGCAGGTTCCACACTGTCAGTGCAGAGCCCCCATGCTGGGCTCGAACCCACGAACCATGAGATCATGACCTGAGCCCAAACCAAGAGTTGGTCCCTTCACTGACTGAGCCCCCCAGGTGCCCCTGAGGTACATTTACCTCAAAATACCTCAGTGTATATTTCCTAAAAACAAGGCCTCTCTCGTGTAACCACAGTATAATTTTCAAAATCATGAAATTATCATTGATACAGTATTAATACATAATCTATAGGCTTTATTCAAATTTCACAAGTTGTTTCAGCGAATATCCTCTAGAAAAAAGAGTATCATAGACTATCCTAGAAAAAAAATCCACAGCGTAAAACATAGCATTTAGTCGTCAGGTATCCTTGGTCTGCTTTACTCAGAGACCATTCTGCAGTCATGCTGACTTTTGTGACATTGCCAGTTTTTGAGGAAAACAGACCAGTTATTTGTAGAATGTTCCTTGGTTTGGTTTTATTGAATGTTTCCTCGCAGTCGGATTCAGGTTGTGTGCTTTGGTGGAAATTGGCACGAGAGATGCTGAGTTCTGTTCCTGCTTCAGGTCAGGAGACACTGATGCTCATTTGGTCCTGTCACTGATGGTCTTTTATCAGTCTTTTAGCAGTTTTTCTGGTTTCTCCACTGAGAAGTTACTATTTTCATTTTTATCATTAAGTATCTCATGAGGGAATACTTTGGAACTGTTTAAATCCCCTGTTTCTCATCGCAACTTAGCTTACTAGTTTAAGCAACCATTTAGGATTCTTACCTGTGAAACATTTATTACTGTGGTGATTGCCAAATGGTGATTTTTCTCATTCTAATTTTCCTTCTGCATTTACTAGTTGGAATTCTATAAAATGGAATTTCTTTTTTAATGCTTATTGTTTTGAGAGAGAGAAGAGAGAGTGGGGCGGGGGCAGGGAGAGAATCACAAGCAGGACCCTCACTGTCAGTGCAGAGCCCGACACAGGGCTCAATCTCACAAACCATGAGATCGTGACCTGAGCTAAAAATCAAGAGTCAGACACTTAACCAACGGAGCCAATCAGGTGCCCCTACAAAATTGAATTTCTAATGGCATTCCAGAAGGACTCCACCTGTAAAAGAGAAAGTATCTGGGCTAATCTAAATCCATGGGAAATGAAAACCTCCCTGCTCCTCTCTCCTTAATCTTAGAGCCCAGGTATTCAGCTAAGTGGCTTATCTCTCTATTTTTAATACAGCAGAAATTTGCAAAGCTGTTGGAAGCTGTTCCTAAGGCCACTTTGGGGTAACAAAATTCCTAATCCTGTCTGAGATCCTTCTCTCCTCAAGTTTACCTTACACCTTTTTTCCCCATAAAGTCTTGTTCTTCTCCCTTTTCCAGCTCTCTCCCATCACACACACACACACACACACACACACACACACACACACACCTTAGAATCTGATTCTTAAAGCTCACTGTCTTCTAAATATTAAAGATTCTACTCTAAGTTCCTTCAAGGCATGGCTGCCAAGTTGACATTCCACACACACACTCACTCCCTTTTACTTCTAGCTCAGACTTTCAGTTATCTGCTGTCCTGTCTTGAAGTTCAGACACTCAAGCTGATCTAATTTAATTCTCTCACTCTCCAGCATAGAATAAGTCAATAAGTTATTCACAATTTCTCACTTTTTGAATGACTTTTCAAAAACAGAACTACAGCCAACCTCTCCTCCAGTATACAGCCTCCTCTCCAATTACTTCCCTCAAATTTCTGAACTTCATCTCAACTGTTCCCATCTATAAGAACCATTCTTCCCCTGGGACAATCATTCCTCATCCTGTAGACATCAGAAGACCCTTAGATTATTCCAATAACTTATTATATATTTTTCAGAGAAGTTAACTTTTACTTAAACCAGAGAAGTGAAAGATAAGATCAACTAGCCTCCAAGAATTTTTTTCTTCCTGGTCAATAGACTGTGTTACTTTTAATATTAAGGAGCTACATGTATCTTGCCTTGTAATATTACACATCTCTCAAGCAGAATGGGAAACTTTAGGAACCATTCTCCAGTCCAAAATCCATGGCATGGTCACCTGTGAATGAATACATTTATGATGAATATTTTATTATAAATCTTAAGCTGATAATAGAAATAGTAGAACTGCTAAATAAAACTGACTTGTTTCCCAGAAACTTCTAAGGAAAAACTCCAATTTTTCATGAGTAACCTTGCTTCTTTATGAGAAACAATACTTTCTTCTCCTTGTTTAAAATCCCTAAATGACTGCACTTCCTTGTCTTATCCATGAATAGGAAAGGAATGAGAAACTCGCCAACAGGTTTTGGCCACTGTGGAAACAGGAAGCTTATATTCCATGGAAACTCATAGACCCAAAGCCTTTCTAGAACTCTGGTTCTAGGTACGTCCATTGTGTCAGCGTTGAGCCACAGCAATACACAGCCAGACTCCTGTTAATTAATACAGTGTTTCCAAATACTGACTGATGAAATGCTCTGTAAATTATGGGATAATTTATACTAGTAACTGCTGACATGGACATAAATACCTTGGAAAAGCCTACCTCTAAGTTCAGATATTATAGAAGGCAGGTCAGAAAAAAAAGATGTGACCTATCGGAATGAAAGGGTTAACAATTTTATCTCTAGTCTTCCTTTCTGTGATTAGAGTTTTAGAACTTTCAGTCACTGTTATTGGAGGAAGGACTACCCACATGCTATCTGAACAACCAAACCCTGGGTGGAGCCTATCTCCATCAGCTGGGCCACAAAGGACATTGATAGGCAACAGGCATTAGAGACTTAGATGAAAATATTGAAAAATACCCTAAGAAAGGTGGGAAAATTTGAACATCCATAAGAATAACAGTTGCAATAGAATGAAATACATCATACATTAAAATTCATGAGTTTATAATGATCTCAAAACAAAACAAACGTTTATGTTTGGATATTGGAATCAGGGAGCTCATTTTTCTAAAAATCAGTATAAAGGGAAAGAATCAAGTATTTATCCTGTCTTTCCTACATATACTGCAGCATAGCATCAGTGTAGCCGAATAGCTGATCAGGGAAAATTCTTTTTAGAAGACTTTCAGGTAAGAATGAAGAAGGAATGTTTAAAATATCATTGCCTTGCCACTGCAAAAATCAGGTGTTTAAACAATCATATCACTGACTCTGTAAAATTATCACATGACCAGGCTGGTGGAGAACTTTAAAAGAGATGGATCAACCTGGAAGCATTTGAATTCACCGATTAATCTTAACATATCCAAAAGAGAAGCAACCCAAAATTATTTTGTCTTGCAATGAGATGCACAGAAAATATACAATACAACCTGTAAAACATTCCTAACAAAAACTTGAATCTGATTCTTATTACACTTCTAGATTTAATTACTAGTATATTGGAAATGTAGGGGACAGAGGAACATGTCAAACAACACCATTGGGATGCAAGCAACAAAATCAAGAATATAGGAAACTCTATAAGGCAGATGACCCAATTACTTTAACAAATAAATTACAAGCAAAAAAATTAGAGAAGAGGAACCTATAGACTAAGAGATGCCTCTGAGAAGCATCAAACAAATGTGATGTGTGGACTTCTAAGGATCCTGACTCAAAGCAACTATGTAAAAAAAAAAAGCCATGTAGTAGATCATCAGAGATATTTGAACACTAATTGGATAGTTGATGATATTAAGTAATTATTGATAATATTTAGATGTGATATGGGGCACCTGGGTGGCTCAATCGGTTGAGCATCCAACTTCGGCTCAGGTCACGATCTCACAGTTTGTGGGTTTGAGCCCTGCATCAGGCTCTGTACTGACAGCTTGCTCAGAGCCTGCAGGTTGCTTCAGATTCTGTGTCTTCTTCTCTCTCTCTCTCTGCCCCTCCCCTGCTCATGCTCTGTCTCTCTCTGTCTCTCAAAAATAAATAAATGTTCAAAAAAATTTTTTAAAAAGATGTGATAATGGTATTGTGATTATGTTTTTTAAAAGAGTCATTTTGTCAATATTTACTACAACATTTACAGATAAAATGGTGTTTGAGATTGGCTTCAAAATAAGCTATTGGGCAGAATATGAGTAATATTATATACAACAAGATTGGTTATGAGTTGATAGTTTTTTAAACTATCATACAGGCAAGTGAAGGTTTATTATATACTTTCTGTAATATAAATACCATAGCCTAAGTCATCTCGAAATCAACGTGCCTTTTTTCCTTTGATAAATAAACTATTTTTGTAATAGAAGAGCTATGTTTGACAAATAGGTTACCATATTGTTAAGTGCAAACACATATGTTTGCAGATATGTGCCGTAATTTAAGCATGAGAATGAACCCTGAAAAGACATGTATGTATCTCCTTCAGTTAGGATACATGTTAGTCCTTGTATTATCCCTGAAGCCAGGGGCTGATTTTTTCTTCCTGTCTTGACAGGTCAGTGAACGACTGATATTATATCAGCATGTGGACCGTGAGAACACTGGCTGGACTGCAGAAGACTCTTTCACATTCACGACATCCTCCCCACCAGCAGCTCTAGGCCCTGAGGAGTTTCGTATTACTATATCATATGAAATTACTGAACCTGGTCGGCATAGTCGTCTGCTTGCAAATACAGGTAAAGGCACCAAAAGATATGGTCAGTGTCTTATTTGTAATTATTAAAGTTGGGACAATTTGGAAATAAGTAATTCTCTTGTTAATTAGAAATGCCATGATATCATAGCAATGCCATGACATCAACCTTTGAAAGAAAACATATATAGTTCTAAAAAATTATTTCTTTATGCGTGCTCTTTCTCTGGTCCTCTTCTCTTTCCCCTCATAAGCTTTAATAGTTGTAGTTGGGGGGAAGATTGAAAATTAGTTCTAAAGAATTTTATTTGTACCTGCAAACGGGGACTTTACCATGCCTATGACTAAAAACTGTCCATAGAAAATGAAAATAACAAATAGGGCAAGTTCCTGAAAGAAAAGGGGTATTGAAAGCTGCACCTGTTTCCATGGCAAGAGAAAGTCCAGTAGTAGGTAAGTGAGGAAATTAACATTATATAAGTGAATCTCAAGATTTCAGAACTCTCTTGCTTGTAATGTTGACTTAATAGTTTGGGTGTGTGTACTTAAAATTTAATTTATATGCCTTGGGTAACAAGGTCCCTGTGCAACCAAGGCATTTTGAATAATCCACTGGAATAAGGAAATCTGAGAGTGAAAGTGCTTTGCAGCTGTCATCTTAAAGTTCTATACTATTTTTTTTAAGTTTTAGTTATTTATTAGAGAGAGACAGAGTGAGCAGGGAAGGGGAAGACAGAGAGGGAGAGAGAATCCCAAGCTGGCTCTGTGCTGCCAGCACAGAGCCCAGTGTGGAGCTCGAACCCACAAAACCATGAGATCATGACCTGAGCTGAAACCAAGAGTCCGATGCTTAACCGATTGAACCATCCAGGTGCCCCTGTCATCTGAAAGTTCTAATGAAATGCCACTTTGTTCTTTATATTTTCACAGGAGCTGCCGTCAAGGAGGGAGACAAAGTTCTCATTGGCCAATCTAATTTAGATGCTTCCAACCTCTTACTGAAATTACCCAAATCACAGCGATCTTCCTATGAGATCTGGTTCCAGGTTATATCTCTTCCTCACCATGGAACCCTTATGGTTGGAGAGAGGAATATTACCAAAGGAAAACCCAATTTCTCCCAGTATATAGTTAATAAATTTGGAATCATATACCTTCACGATGACTCTGAATCACTGGCTGATAATTTTACCTTTGCCGTTTGGCCAAATCAAAAGAGCAAGTCTGCCACCAAGCCAAAGGCTGACTTCCTTGAAGAGATGTTTAACATCACCATCTCTCCTGTTAATGACCAGGCACCAGCATTAAAGACAAAGGGGCTTCGGTTGAAAGTTCTACAGGGCAACAGGTTAGTTGTGGGACCTGAAAATCTGAGAGTGGAAGATCTAGACAGTCCTCCAGAGGAGATCAGATATATGATCATCCGTAATCCTAATAATGGATTTTTGGCACTGGCTCACCATCCAGACATACCTGTTCACCATTTCACACAGGCCGACATTGACAACTCTAGGGTTTTATTCATTCAAGATGGAAGCCCATCCTCAGGCGTGTTTTACTTTAGTGTGACCGATGGTCAACACCGCCCACTCTATAAGCTCTTCCACCTGGATGTCATCCCCATCTCCATCACCCTTGTGAACCTCACTGACCTACTTCTCCCACAAGGCCAGACAATAGTTCCTATCACCAATACTCATCTGTCAGCAATGACCAATGGGAGAAGCCCCCAAATCACTTACAAGATGACATGGCCGCTCCAACATGGGCATCTGCTCATGGAAAACCAGGTGGTCATCAGCTTTGGGCAGGAGGATCTACATTCAGGAAGACTCTCTTACCATATGACAAATCTCACTGCCTCTGGGGACCAGCTACATTTCTCACTGTTTACACCAGAAAGCAACCTTACAGGACAAACACTGAGCATCAGAGTGCAGCCTCTACTGTGGGTTATGTCAAACTTGACCATTGCCAACAGAGTGGTTTATCAGCTGAGAAGAAAGGACCTTGATGCTACTGAGCTTGCTAATAGGACTAAGAGTGATCCCCAATTTGAAGTGACAGAACCCCCTGTCCATGGAAGACTTGTACGAAGAGTGGGCCGAGGTGCTGAAATGGAAAACGCTACTGTATTCACTCAGAGGGACATTGACCAAGGATTGTTAATGCTGAATCCACATGCCAACTTAACAGGCATCGATATGGTGAATGACTCCTTCACTTTCCTGCTCAGGGCAGACCATGTACAGCCAGCAATAGGTTATCTCCCCTTCACCATAGTGCCACCTGACCCCTTACTCTTGCAAACATTTATCCCTGATGTTTCTTTACTAGTCACTTCCAATAACCTTGTGACTTCAGATTTCTCTCAGGAAAAGCTTGTGGTTTCCTCAGGACCCACAGTACAGGCAGAAACTTTAGGGAAGCTGACTCAGGCCAGGCAGCAGCAAGCAGATCCCTGGGGACGACACCATGGTCAAGAGCCTACAATGGACAGCAGAGCCTCTCTAACTAGGATCATTTGGCCACCAAACACCACCGACGCCAGTCCTCAGGCACCCACCCAACCCAGGGAGAGCAATTATCCTGTGATGGTCATTGTACCCTCGGCTGTGGTGATCTTCCTGCTGATAGTAACTGCCGTGACCTTGTGTATCCAGATGCTGGGCCGGAGGGCAGAAAAGGCAAAACCTCTCATCAAGCCCCTGACCAATCTGGAAACTACAACCCCAAGTCCTAGGCCAGAAAGGAGCATAGCTGTTCCCACTGTCACAGTGACACCCCTTCTAAAAAGCTCCAGCAGTCCTCCAGTCAGTCTTTGCAGGGACCCACTAAGTGGGCAAATGGCTTCTCCAGCTACTGAGCCAGTGGAGAAATGTGCTCCTTGGGAGACATGGATGAATCTGGATCCTGACATGGTCAAGCTCTGCCGACAAACCAACCCAACACTGAAGCACAACCAGTATTGGGTGTAGACTGAGGGCTCTTGTTCCTGAGTGACCGCCTGCTGTACTGGGATAGGTACTGGGATCCAAAGGCAAAGGAATGCTGGGTGAATCAACTGAGAAAAGCTTGGCCGTGACAGTCACTCAGTGCTCAGTTATCGTCCCGTGGTTAGATGTTGGCAAGTGTTTATTGTAACGCGTACAACACTCTTCTGATGGGCTCTCCACAATGAGCTTTGTATGCTCTCTTCTGGACCTGACTCTGAGTATAAGGTTGTGTCAGTATTTAAGCCCTTTACCAAAGTGCTACCAAACATGCTGGCCTAACTGGGAACAGCAGTATTAACTTGGGTGCTAGAGTTAATGGAGGAAGACTTTGCATATTTCTCACTGAGGATTCACTCTCTCTGAGTGAGTCAGCAAGGAAATGCAGGAACTGTTTCAGCAAGTAGAAAAGGTAATTTAGCAAATCAGCAAGTTTGTTTCTAGTGTATTTCTATAATGTATTTTCCTCCTTGGAGCCCGTAGGTTTGACTTCTTGTGCAGGAAATGCCTTGGTGCTCTGGATAGTAGGACAGCTTGACTCCCTTTGAAGTATTCGCTGAGCATATTGTGTTTCATCGAGAAGATTTATCTATTCTGACTTGTAAAACCAAGTCTGTAGTACAAATATGATTTGAAGCCCTAAAGAATAGAAAAGGCTGTTAAACACATTTGTGATGACTCGATTTGGCTTAACATCACGATGAATTGAAATAATGGCAAATTTGTACCTGACTTGTCTGGTTGAGCCTACCATTGGCTCAACTGATTCAAACCTGTTTTGATAACTCTAAAATGAAGATATCAGTACTTGTATTAGTTACGAATGCTTTAGGTTACAAATCACAGGACATTAGCTATGAGTCGTTTAGATTGGAGATTGGCAAACTTTATTCGTGCAGTACCACATGGTAAAGAGCTTAGACTTTGCGGGCCATGTATGGCTGTTTATTTTTCACAACCTTCATTTTCTTAACAAAGTTTTAAAAAGGTAGAAACAATTCTTAGTTCTTGCCTTTGACCCACAAATCAGTTTGCCAACTATTGATTTGGCTAAGCAATAAAAGTCTTGCAACTACCAAGTAGCCTGAGGTGGACATTCCGAGGCCGGTTCAACAGTCCAAAGATGTCATCAAGTACTGAAACTCTTTTGTTCTTTCTCCTCTACCTTCCTCAAGCTGTTGGAATTCTGTTTTTCATTTTTGTTTTTGTTTTTGTGTTTTGGCTTAGTTCCTTGTGATTGTGAGGTACCTGCTAATGCTCTAAGCAGTACAGTCACGTTCAAAGGCAGACATTCTAGTGGGAAAAAAACAGATATGGCAAAAAGACTTTTTCTTAGGATCTTATTTATTATTATTATTATTATTATTATTATTATTATTTTAATCCTGTAAGGGTAGGCCTTCCCAAACATCTTCCCCCTTGTATGTCTCAGTCTAGAACTGAGCAATGGGATTCCCATCTCTGGAACAACCATTTGGCCAAGAAATGGAATTCTTCTGACTGACGATCTTTCCTGGGGCTGGGAGAGGATTCTGCCATGTCAGAGATCAGTGGATGACCCCACCCTGTAATTAGGGGAGGCTGGAGGATGGCAATTAGTTAAACAGTGAATAAGATCTATTAAAGTACTCTTCAAATATGAACTACTTGGGAAATAAGCATTTTGATCTTTCAAATGGATATCTACTTTAGTATCTCCTTTTCATATTTTAATGATTTTCTTAAAGCCAGCAACTAGGGAGTCTAGAGTGGAAGGAACAACTTCTTCTGGCGGGGGCATTTGGCAGTGTCTGGAGACATTTTTGGTTTTCACAACAGGTGCTGTTGGCATCCATTGAGTGCAAACCAGAGATGCTGCCAGATATCCAACACCGCATAGGACAGCCCCCCAAAAGAATTACCTGATCCAAAATTTCAACAATGCCAACGTTGAGAAACCCTGGTTAAAACCACAATGAAGAGTTTTCTTGTCTACCCGATGAAGGATTAATAAACCCATTACCAAATGTAAGCAGCAACTATATTCTAAAAACAGAATAAAAGGGTGAAAATTCTATTGTACGGTTGAAACTCTGCTTGGCAAATTTTTTTTTAAAGAGGATGTATTTAAAAACAAAGCTTGAGGGCAGATTCATTCCTTCATATTCCTTGATAAAAGAAAAAGATTTTACCTTGTGTTAACAGGTGGAACACATCGGGAGGGACAAAAATCGATATTTACAAAGGTAAAGATGAGGTCAAAGTGTTCCCCAAAGTCGAATGGCCTCAGATGTGTTCCATGTGGACAAGAATTTTTTCTCATCCTTTCCCTTTTCTGCTTCTCTGGGTTGCTTTTCTGTCCCAACCCAATTTTAACGGCTCTCTGTGGAAACAGACTTCATAATCTACAGACCAAATGGAAGGACAGCATATTTGGACCTAGAGATGACTAATCATGTCTTAGATCTCTGGTTCCAATGCTGGTGCTAAAGAAATCTTACCTACTCTTCTTCCTAAAGTGATTCCCTCCTGTCTTTCTGTATTATTGAATTATATGTAGCCCCTTTCAAGTGTTTTTGGACTTGATCCCCTTAGAAAGGAGGACTGTGAGTCTTAACCCAAGGTTGGTTTGATCACTATGCAACTCAGAATTATTCTTTTTTTTTTCTTTTTCCTTTTTTTCAATTTAAATCCAAGTTAGCTAACATATAATATAATAATGTTTTCAGTAATAGAATTTAGTGACTCATCACTTACATATAACACCCAGTGCTCATCCCAACAAGTGTCCTCCTTAATGTCCCTTGCCCATTTAGCTTGTTCTAAGGAGCCAGGTGCTCAGAAGGAACAGAATGGCAGTATGTGCTTGAGCTTGTACACAGAAAGGGAAGGCTGAGGAACATCTTTGCATCCAGTTAAGTGGGTTTTCTTTTCTCTCGGCTGGGCAAGGAGACTGCCCGTTCTTTGTGGAAGAGCCAGATGTAGTTGGCTCCATGACCATGTTGGCCTCTTCCTTGCTTCAGCTATGAGATCTGTGAAGCTTATCAGCCTGACCAAACAAAAAAATATGATTTCCCTTCCCCTTTCCTGTTAACTCTGTAACTTCATAAAAATAAAATTAGTGTCCGTATTGGAATTAAATAGACACAGATGCTTTGAAATGAGAATTCACGGTGTCTGTGAGTGTGCCTGCCAAAGCAAGACCATCAGTGTGAGGTACAGATGTCAAGACTCAGTAATTAATAGAGTAATTAATATAGAGCTTGGAAAGTTTTCCAGAGCATCTAGAATAGTCTTCTGATTTGCAGATGGATTCAATTTTTAAAAATGCCTACCATTTGGTGCTGGCTCAAATAAAAAATGAAATAAAAAGTTTTGGCAAATTCTTGTTTAGTGTTGAAAATTAGTTTTGGAAATTGAAAATCAGTTTGAAATGGTTTCTCCCATACAAAGAGCTACAACTGCACGTCATAATGAATTCGCCACCTCTTAACAAATGACTGGGGAATGAATAAGGGGACACCAAAAGTTAATGTCAGAAGAATTGCTGATTCTTGCTTAACAGGAGGTATTTTTTTGGGTGGGCTGGGAGTGGAGGGTCTAACATTGTTCCATATCTGGAGGTTTTGGCAAATTCAAATCTTTCAGGGATCCTGCTCAAACACCTGGGTGCACTTCCTTAGAGTCCTGCATTAGGTAGATTGAGATAGGTGCTGTTCTTACCGTCTGGTTTTTCGGATTTCTGGGGCTGTTAGACACGGAGGGTGAATAATAGGTATGTATCAGATGACACTCCCTGAAATTGACAATGGGACTGTGCTACACACCTACATCTTTCAGAAGCATTGTAATTAATGAGTTTGAGGTTGGCCATGTGTAGGGAGACATATACGGTTGAAAGTGGGCATGGAACCCACTGTTGGGCATGCCCAGTGATGGAGCCCTTGGCTAAGGTGCTCAAGAACACCACTGTCTGTTTGGCAAACACTTAGAAAGGGCTGCCTTTTCATAATGATGGGCAAACATTTATAAGGCACCTACTGTCTGTGAGACACCAAATACTAGACACTTCCCCCTAGATGCAGATGCGAGATGTTGTCCTGAAAGGATCTTTCTGGTTTGTTTCCTCTGATAGGTTCTTCCAGAATCACACAAGGAGTGACAGGAGAGAAGGTATGGAAAAAAGGACAAAGAGAAATAGAGGTTCAGAAAGGGCTTCGTCTTTTCACTTGAAAACTCAGTGGTGTGGTGAGAATGAGGGACCTCACTGGCCCACCCACCTCCACTTCCGCCCACCTGTCCCTCAAGGTGCCCCTCATGTTCCCATTGAGGCCTACAGACTGAGACACTACAGAGTGGTTAGATCTAGACTCTGCCTCTGTTTTGGATCCTGGCTCTCTGCTTCCAAGCAGTGTGGCTTTGAGTAATGTATTCAATCTCATTGAATTTCGATTTTTTAGACAACAATTTCTTCCTCCAAACCTACCTCTTTGGGTTTTGTTAAGATTTAGTGATGTTAATATCATTATCATCATCATCATCATTACCACCTCCATACAGAACTTTCAGTGCATCAGGCACTATACTAACTGCTACAAAAACTTTTTCTTACCTGCACTTTTAATGCATTTTAAAAGAACTAATACATTACGCCACTTCAGTAAACGAGAGGCTCATATTCTACCCAAAGCAGTACATGGAATTGAAGCAGTATGTGGTAATGGAATTTCAGGTGGGCGGTTTAAGGATAGGTGATGTGTTTTTCAGAAGGGGAGCTTCCCACATGCTCATGCCCCACTGGGCAGGCACTGCTTTCCCCTTTGTCCTTGGATGGAGCCTTGGCAAGAAAATGGATGAAAGAAAGAACACATCAGGAACATTTGTAAAATCAGGGATTTTAATGGTTCTCTATCTTGTAGGGGCTGCTGAACTGTTGATGAAATATTCTGCTTTGTTCCCTTCCTTTCCAAACTGGATCAAATCCCTACATCGGCCAGGGCTTTGATTTGAAACCTTTACCCCTTCTCCCACTTCCCATCCCATTATTCCCAAGCATTCACAGGCTACTACTTTTCTTTTCTCTTTTCAAAGCTTAATTATGTATTTTGAGGGGGAAGGCAGAGAGAGAGGGAGAGGGAGAAGCCCAAACAGCCTCTGCACTGCCAGCACAGAGCCCAACATGGGGCTTGATCTCACGCACTGTGAGATCATGAGCTAAGCCAAAATCAAGATTCCCACACTCAACCGACTGAGCCAATGAAGCACCCTAGTAATTTTCTTTTTAAGTCCAGGATTAGCAAAGGACTGCCACTTAAAAAAAAAAAATAATACCATAACTTTACCAAAATAAAAAGTGCTGTTTACCATCACCATAATTTCCTCTCTTAAGGACAAACTCTTATAATAAAGAATTTTGGGGGGAAAAATAAGCAACTTTATGCAAAATTCTCTCCTTTGTCCAGATCTGACCATGGCCTGGAAAAACCTCAGCACACGCCAGCAGGGCCAAGAACTGTATGGAGGCCATGCTTATGGCTGCATGGCCAGACCTCAGGGAGAAGCAGGGAAGAGAAAAGTCAGCTCCTCAGTGACGGTGTTCCTTAGGAAAATGTGGTCAGTCATCCCGTGTGTGTGTGTGTGTGTGTGTGTGTGTGCGCGCATTAGCAAGGTTTGGGGATGAGGACTAACTCGCTATTTAAGAGTCCAGACAAGACCAGCTCCACAGGCATATGCAACCAGTGCAGCCACACAGGCCTCAGAAGGACCTGGGCAGGGATTAATGCTCTGTATAACCATCTTGAAATTCCAATAATTTTTGAACATAGCTCCCACATTTTCATGCTTCACTGCACCCTGCTAATTGTATAGCTGATTCTGAGACTGCATAGAATTTAGTTGATGACTGTTGCATCAGACACCTCTTAAGCATTGTTTAAAATTCTCTCAGCTTGGCTTTTTCCTCCAACTATGGCTCTGGCTACCAGTTCCAGGCATATTTATAGCCATAAATGAGGGTGTAGTGTGCCCTGGGTCCCGGTATCTCTGCAGCATGCCTGTGCGAACCTGTACTTGCACAACCCAGAAGTGAGAGAGTTAACTCCCCACAGAACAACCCTTACCCAGCAGCAAAGAGGAGCTAAGGAATAAATACCTGTTTATACCGGGTATAAACAGTTCTAAGATGCATTCTGTGAGGCTTCTCAGACTGTCATGAAGATTGAAGACAGATATATGGGTGTGTGGAACCTCTTCCTGCCCTGCTCGTTATCCCTGTCCCTCACTCCTGCTCCCACTCACAGATGAGCCTTTGCTGTTAAGGGAGCCCAGGCAAAGACAGTGGTCCCTATTCCTTGTATCATCAGCTGGGAGTATGAACCCTATGGCTAGGCATCCATTGCCTTATGGTTTTCATGGGACCCTTAGGAACAGTTACTCTGGGTTACTTGCCTTGAGGGCCTGTGCCCTGCCAGACCCCTTATCACACGCAGCCCAGGTCTGCTGGGACACTGCTGTCTGCCCACAGCTGGGAGCCAGGAGGCCTTGAACTAGCGGCAGACCCTAAGCCAAGGCTCTATCTTGGAATCAGCCAAGAAGTCACGGCTTTACCAAATCACCATCTAGTTAAAAATCTCACTCTTCATTGCAGTTTCTCCACTGGTTGTGTTGGGTTTAAGAAACAGTAGCTCATTAACCACAACTTTTAGCAAGACCAAGATTTACTGTATTTTGTAATAGTTTAGAAACGCTCTTCTGCATTTCATTTCAGCACTGCTCATGGTTTCTCAAAGTAAAGATTACCTCGCACTTGTTTTTAATAACAGCTTTATTTATTTATTTTTTTGAGAGACAGAGAGAGGGAGGGCACAGGTGAGTGAGGAGCAGAAAGAGTGAGGGAGAGAAAGAGAGAATCCCACAAGGGGAAGAGGGAGAGAGAGAGAGAGAGAGAGAGAGAGAGAGAGAGAGAGAAGTGGAGCTCAACCGAAGCAGGGCTTGTGTTCAACCAATGAGGAACTGGAACTCATGAACCGTGAGATCATGACCTGAGCTGAAGTTAGATGCTTAACTGACTCAACCACCCAGACACCCAATAACAGCTTTATTGAGATGTTATTTACACACCAAACAATCCACTCAAGGTATACAATTCCATAGTTTTTAGTGTTTTCACAAAGGTATGCAATCATGTACTTGGCCATTTGCATATCTTCGTTAGAGAAATTTCTCTTTAGATCTTTTGTCCATTTTAAAAATTGGGTTATTTGTTTTTATTCTTCCACTGTGTTATCTACATATCATGGATAATAATCCTTATCAGATATGTGATACTCAAAAAGTGTCTCTCATTTTGTAGGTTGTCGTTTCAGTTTTTGGATGACGTGCTAGAAAATATAGGAGATTTTATTTTTTTATTTTTTTTAATATATGAAATTTATTGTCAGACTGTTTCCATACAACATCCAGTGCTCATCCCAAAAGATGCCCTCTTCAATACCCGTCACCTACCCTTCCCTCCCTCAAGGAGGTTTTAATTGTGATGTCTAATTTATCTATTTTTTCCTCTTGTTGTTTGTATTTTTGGTCTTGTATCTAAGAAACCGTCTCCTAATTTGAAGTCATAAAGATGGAGGCCTTTGCTTTCTTTTAAGACTTTTATAGTTTTAGGTCTCAAAATTATATCTTTGACTCATTTTGAGTTAATTTTAAGGTACCGTGTCTATGGTATAAAGTAGGGGTCCAACTTCATCCTATTGCATGTGATAACGAGTTGTCCCAACACTGTTGAAAGGGCAGTTCTTTCCCCCATTTAATTGTCTTAACTCCCATGTCAAAAATGAGTTGACCATGAATGTGAGAGATTTCTGTATTCTCAATTCTATTCCATTGAGTATATATATAAATATATATACACCTATATTCGTGCCACTTTGTTTTGATTACAGTAGCTTTGCAGTAAGTTTTGAAACTGGGAAGTGAGTTCTCCAACTTTGTCCTTCTTTTTCAAGATAGTTTTAGCTGTTTTGGGCTCCTTTAATTTCCATATGAACTATAGAATCAGCTTGTCAATTCCTGCACAGAAGGCAGTGAAGACTTTGACAGAAATTGCATTGAATCCATAAATTTGGAGACTACTGTATCTTTTTTATTATTTATTTATTTTAATTCCAGCATAGTTAACATAGAGTTTTTTATTTGTTTCATGTGTACGATATAATGATTCAACAATTCTATATTACCCATGGCTCATCATAAGTGGGCTCTTAATGCCCTTCACCTATTTGACCTATCCCCTCACCCACCTCCCCTCTGGCAGCCACCAATTTGTTCTCTGTATTTAAGAATCTATTTTTTGTTTCTCTCTCTCTCTCTCTCTTTCTCTCTCTTTTG